GGTCCATCTCGTCCAATGGTCCAAGTTGATACGATATCTACGAACACATTTTTATTGGTCAGCAAATTTAGTTTGGGAAATAAACTGAAGTAATCATAAAGTAGTGCCACCGCATTTGCAACGACACAGCGGACCAACACATCTAGCTCCGAATATTGCAGGATTGTTGGGAAGAGTCGAGACGCGAAACTGTTCCACTTGTTGGCTATCGAACAAGTGTTCGGAACTGAGTCATGTGCTTACAGCGACATCCCACAGCGAAATGTGATTAATTGAACCATGCTGCCTGACGGCGTGATGAATGGGCTCGATAAAGTTGTTATCCTGACGATCAAGTGTCGATGTTTTCAGTGACCGACATGCTAATTACTTTTCCAAACGTCCCGCTTATCTTGATAGCGCGCGTAACTATTGTGGTATTCAGCTTGGTTCCAGGTGAGTTTCCCGTCAAAACCAAATTGATATCCAAATGAGCGCATTTCGCTTTTGTGAGAAGCTTCATCACAATTCCGTGTGCTATGCTGGACACCAGTTAGGTGTTAACATAGCTAGGTCGAAGTAGCGTAAGACAGTTTGGTAGGGGTGCTAAACGGTGCCACCAGGAAACATGAATGTACTCATGTGTGTGCACGGGACAAAACAAATGGGATTTAGCTGAAGAATCATTGAAGGGGCCCATTAACCGCCCAAAGCTTTTAGCGGCAAAATCTTTACGACTAGAGTAAAACTTTTTGCATTTTGTTGCGCATATGCTTAAACCAAAAACCATCGTAATCCACGTCTATATTTTCGCAGTTCACCAAATCTCATTGTCCACTGAATCAATCATACCTCTGGCGGAATAATGTCCCAGCATCGCTGAGACCCCGAAATGTCTCAGTAGGGCTCAAAAGTTTGGACTGATACGTTGAACTCAATTGGCTGATTGCTTTAATCCATCAGGAACACGTCATAGCTTTCGGAAATCCAATTCCATTGTGCGAATACTGAGCACCATCATTAAGACATGTCTCTACACCTGTTGAAACCAGGTTTCGGGCGGAGAACACTACGTTCCCGTGACAAAGCAGCTAATCAGCGTGATGGCCCAGAATCAGGGCATAGACCGGTCGCTGTGGCCTTGGTGCTTGAGTCCGCACCGCTATCCCACATGAATAGGAGGTAGGCGTATCTTTAAATTCAATGCGGCACTGGAGATGCATGGCGGTGAAGACAGCTATGCCATTTCAGAGCCGTAGATAATTTGTTGAAAAAGTCAGGTTAGCGGATAAGCTGGCCCGGAAACTGCCTTTACCTATCAGATGACTCGTAGAGGGTGAGACAAGGTGCTTTATTGATTTTCGGCCGTCGCTGTAGTGTGGGGAATTTGACGGCACGACAGAGGGAACTTCCAACAAATAGGCTAGCTTCGTAGTGCCTGTCAAACAAACCATTGAAAATCAAGATCGGAAGAAGCCGAAACAACTGCTCACAGCACGGAACCCGTCAGATGGCTGCATGTGACCCCTATAAAAGATATTCCGGTGAGGCATAACGGCTAATTGGTCAAGCGTTTGGAGATGGGTTTTCAAGATGGAAATCGTGGTCTTGTGACTTTCAGAAGTGGCGTCTTCTGGCTAATCGTGCCATCTTCAATCAGTTCATCCCTGGCGTTACTGGACTAATAGAAGCCACTTAGGTTATACGACGGAAAAATGGATTTTGACCGGCTACTTGCCTACGGCCCTATGACAGCGATTGAATGCCAGTAACACATTCTAACAAGAACGCCGTCTTCAGGTCACTAAATATCTGACGGTTCGGATATAAGTGAATAATGAAATAAATAACGTAGCGGCAGCATTCAGTTAGATGTGACTAGTTTACACTGACAACTACTCGCCGGTTTCCGCATTTTGAATTCGGTGACGAATCTTTATTTTAACCGGGAGAAATAACTCACCCCCGATAGATGAACTGATCACACTGCATAGGTTGTGCTGGCTTGGCCACGTGCTGCGCATGCCAGTCGGCCGACTTCCTCGAAGGGCTCTTTTCGCACAACCACGTGAAGAGTGGAAGAGAGCCAGAGGCGTTCAAACAATGACTTGGCAGCGAAGTATGAAAGCTATTACCAGCAAACTCAGCTGCGCTGGTCACTGCCGTCTTCCTGGATGGGGACCCCGAGACGGGCCACATCAATGGTTAGAGACATTGTCAGACATGGCGCAGTCGCACCCTCAATGGCGCTCTTGCATCCAAGCTATTGCCTTCAATGCATAGCTTCTTTTCCAACCCCCCAGTTGACAGCCCACTGACTGCTGGATTTATGCACCCATTTATCAGCTCGCGCGTGCAATGCGCAGCTACCTACACCCCCCCAAAAAAAAACATCGACGAGCGAAACTGCGGCAGCTACAACCACTGTACGACAAGTGCGCGGTTATTACAGCTGACTATGATGATGATGTTGAAGAGGATATTCAATATACTTAAGTCTAGAGTGTTCCTTCGAACGGAAAACCGATAGTACGCCTACTTGATGACCAATTTGGGGAGCCAAAACTATTCTGAGCTACCGAAGAGCTTAACTTTATAAGTAGTGTCTTGTTAGGAACAAATCGGAAAACTTAAGGGGATTGTTTGAAGTATTATACGCACTAATGACTCAAAACGTTGAGAGTAGGGTCGAGAGGATAGCGAAGGACGGAACGTAGTTTGACAACGCAACTACACCGCTGACACTGGTTCTCAGGTGAGATTTTGAATAGGAAATCTATGAGACTGGGTTCCTAAATGCACCACGCACAAGGAACAATTTACTGGAAGCATGAAATAACCGAAATTCGTGCATAAAAACAACACACAGCATTCGAAATTTCGTTAGGTGTACAAGCGTACAATGAGGAGCTTGCAAGTCACCGACGTTCCACGACTGATTTAGTCAGTTCGCGGATGGCTATCGTAGCGTAGCTGGATTTCGGTAGTGTGAATTCAAGTATCAAAGCTCGGTATGGATGAGCTGGAATGCAAGAAAAACAGCCAGTGATAAATGTGGATACAAAATATGTGACAGAAATAAGTTTACTTAAATAATGCTTGTATTGACAGTAGCCCCCTCATAATATGTTCACGTGAGAATACGTATCGTCCATTACTTTGATATTTGAAATACCCCACATTTCTTCTGACCCTATTTGTAATCCCGCCCCACTTTTGTGTTTAGTGCTTGCACGTGAACTGGCGTTTGTTTGTCCCTGCCAGTTCATTCATTTGACCTCGAGGTCATCCAGGCATTTTGTGGTCGTGTGTGACTGTCTCACGTGGGGGCCTGTTTGCTCATTTGGTTCGTACTTTTGTAGTCCAAGTGGACTACCTCTTGTGGACGAGTACCTACTGTCGAGGTTTGTATATTTCGCGAATTTGTCTTACATTAGTAGTACCGTATAAAAACCCAGCTCCGACTTCGTTTTGTCTTCCAGGAGGTTCTGGCATTACGCGTTACTCGAAGATACCGTTTGCCCGTTACACCCATCTGTCTTACGTTAAAGCTACCGTTTGCGAACAGTATGAAATAAGATTTTTGAAAACCCAGAGATTTTGCACACCGAGAAGCGAAAATGCAAACGACCTCGTAGTTAAGCAGGCATCGCCCAGTGCGCTATTTCAATTCCAAGGAAATGGCTAAGGTTTGGACGATTCTTCCGTCTCGTTCGCACTGTGCGCAGTGCGAACAGTGAGTTGGATCAAAAGTCAGTCCACGTCACGAAGAGACTGGACCTTACCGTGGTGTGACGGTTTGCGCACCTCAGGGATACATTGAGCTATACTGGAGAGTGTCCCGCGACACTCACAGGAGTCTCTCAACCAGGTTGATCAATGGTTAGAGGTCTGACGAACACAGTCTCCTGGCCCTCCAGGTTGGGGGTTGGAACATGTGGCGACTTGTTTCGTAGAAATGGTAATGCATTTGCATTTCCCGCCAAACACCGCTGCCTTGCGGTTAGGTTTTTGAGCCAAAGGCTTTGGTTGAGGACCCTAATCGTCCTCCTGTCTAGGTGTGGGCGCCCTGGCAGTCTCCCAGACCACGTACAACCATGAATTGCACATACACAAATAAACTCATTCCACATCGGCCGTCGCGTGGTGCCATCAGCCGGGTCGCCTTACTTGCTGCATACAGCAGGGCGGGTAAGCGAAAACAGGCTACTGCTGACGCTTCCCTTTTTTCTCCTTCATACTTTTTCTTCCCCCTCCCCACCCCATTAATAACTCTCTCCTTATAGGTCCAGCACTTAGGACTGATGACTCCGTTCGTCATGCATCGGTTTTGCGTGCAGCATCTGCTCGTCACATGGCGCCGACATCTTCAGGAATCTCTGAATCAGTCCTCAAGCCTCGACACCCAGTCTATCTGGCCGCGTTCAATCTCCGCACTCTGAAGCAAGCAGGACAACAAGCTGCTCTTGCTGTCACACTGGACTCGCTTGGCATTGATGTGTGATGTGTCTCAGAAACGAGAATTCAAGATGCAAGCACAGTGATTGAGTTAACCACCCCGTCAGTCTTCACTCGCTTCCGGCTGCGCACCTCTGGTGATCCAGAGGCTGCTGCGGTGGGATATGCAGGGGTTGGTATTGTGCTAAGTCACCGGGCCGAAGTATCCTTACTTGACTGGATACCTGTTGACAGTCGCCTCTGTGCGGTTCGCCTGGCAACGTCTGTGAAGGAGTCTCACAAGCGGCAAGTTGATAGATGTCTGTTTATCGTGTCCGCCTATGCCCCAACTGATTGTAGCTCTGACACCGTCAAAGACAGGTTTTACGACGCCCTGAATGCTCTGCTGCGGCGAGCTAAAAGCTCAGACATTGTGGTGGTTGCCGGAGATATGAATGCGCAAGTGGGCAGGCTCAGTGCATCTGAGACTCAATTGGGAGGTCGACATGGACGACTCGGTACGTACGGACGATGGGGAACGTTTGCTTCAGCTGTGTGCTGATCGCAGGCTGATTTTATGTAGTATGAGCTTCCGAAATAGCCGAAGTCGTCTGGCCACTTGGTGCCCTCCTACAACAGGCCGGCCACAAACTCAAATCGACCACATTGCCATCAGTTACCGATGGCGCGGGTCCATAACTGACTGCCGGTCGTTTTGGAACACATTTGTGGACTCTGACCACGCGCTCGTCCGGAGTCGCTTCTCCCTACGTTTCCCGGGGCCACGTAAGGTGCGGACAAATCGCATGGCAACTAGAAGGCTGGCAGATCCGGACGTCAGACAAACTTACAAGAATCGTCTTCTGGAGTCTCTTCCAAGTGCTCCACCATCAAATGTGAACTCATACTGGGACGAGATTGCCACCTCTTTGCTTAGGGCTGGGAATTTTGCCTGTGGCACGACCCAACCAGGCGCACTCAA